CCCTGTGACCTTGAAAGTCGAACAAGGTCATTACGTTGAACAAACTTTATAGCCCTTCATCTCTTCATCTCAGCATGAAACTTTCAAAATATTACCACCCTATAAGCTAGACCTTTTGTTTATTGAAATGAAGTCATTTAAATGTTTATACATATTTTACTAAATGTGACCTTAAAAGTGTGTCAAGGTCATTCAAATGAAAAAGCTTGATAGCCCTTCATCCAAGCACGCTTTTATTCAGTAGAAGTTGTTTAAAGATTTTTTGACCCATGCGACCTTGAATAAAGGTTAAGGTCATTCATTTAAAAACACTTGGTAGCCCTTCATCCAAACATGCTAATGGCCAAATATCATCACCCTGGGCATTTTGGTTATTCAGTAGAAGTCAATTAAAGCTTTAAACATATTTGACCCCTGTGACCTTGAAAATGGGTCAAGGTCATTCATTTGAACAAACTTGGTAGACCTTCATGCTAACATGCTACTGGGCAAATATCAACATTCTGGGCTTCATGGTTATTCAGAAGAAGTCGTTTAAAGATTTTGAACATATTTTACACCTGTGACCTTGAAAGTAAGTCAAGCTCATTCATTTTAACAAACTTGGTAACCTTTCATCCCAGCATGCTCCTGAACAAATATCAACATCCTGGTCCTTTTGGTTATTCAGAAGAAGTTTTTTAAATTTCTTTTTTAGACAATTGACCCCTGTGACCTTGAATATGAGTGAAGGTTATTCATTGGAACAAACTTGGTAGCCCTTTATCCCAGCATGCTACTGGCCAAATATCATCACCCTGGGCATTATGGTTATTCAGAAGAAGTTGTTTAAAGTAAAATATTGACGCCAGATGGTTGAAAGACGGACGCCTGACGGACTACAGACGGACGACGGACACCGCGCCACGGCTTTGGGCCAGGTGAGCTAAAAAGAAGCTTTATACCACATACATTTGCTGATAGTTTGCAGATATTTGCTGACTGTTTTACAGACATTTGTTGACCATTTAACAGAGTTTTGCTTAATTATTTTACAGCTTAATTTGCTGAATGTTTTATAGATATTTGTTGACAGTTTCACAGAATTTGCCTAACTGTTTTACAGACAGTTGCTAACTGTTTTAAAGATATTTGCCTGAGAGTGTTCAGATATTATATGACTTTTTAAAGACTATCATACAAACATTTGCCTGAGAATTTTTCAGACATTTCATATCGATGATTATTTCCCCGACTGTTTTACGGTCAATGTAAATACAGGTTGTTTTACAGACAGTTGTCAAGAAGTTTTGCAGATGTGTTCTGACAGTTTTACAAACATTTGCTATTTTTTACAGCCTGATTGTTTAACAAACATTTGCCTGATTGGTTAACAGCTAGTCCTTTGTCTGATAAGAAATTCAAAGAACAGGAACAATATTTTACATAAACTGTTCACTACAAGTTGGAAGAACTTTGACTCAGAAAACTCTACTTAGTCTTTACTTTATGGTACCTGAACCATGGAGACATTTTAGCTCCCATCTTACTTATTTTAGCACACCAACATTTTAGTGCAATATCAGATTTTAAGTTTATAGTTCATCAATGAATAGGTGCAGTGTAGACAATATACCGGTAACACAAACAAATATACAGAGACTTTCATAATGCAGTGTTATCATAAATTGGTGAAATATTTAAAGTGCAAAATATGCTAAAATTTGATTTCTGCCAAAATCTGTTTATTCACAGTACAAGTTATAATATATATACATGACAATTCCGTATCACAGATATATATCATTACTATTACCGCAAATACAAAAGAATACAGCACATGCATTTTTATCCACTACAGAAAGAAAAAACACATTGTATATGGTACATATCAACGAAATATCACAAATGGAATTGGTTGTACACAATTATCTTTTATCTGCAATATTTACGTTTATATTTATAAATAATAACATGTTACACCATTATCATATGAATTCCAGCCTCACTCTGGGGACAGTAGATAAATTCTGTGAGTTACGCGTCTGTCGGCTGAATAGTCTGGCAATCGCAGTTAACACACACATGTGTTATGCTGAATTCTGAACTCAATCCAAAATTTGTTTAAATTGACCCTCTACTGCATATACATCAAAAGTCCTCATGGCAAAGCGATATCCAGCAGTATTGGATTTTCTGGCTCTGCAAAACATCTGTCATTGCAGGATAGCTCTAGTTTGCCTCCAGTTCTTACCTAATCCTTTTATAGTTTCTTTATTATTTATCAAATTTGACTGGTCGTGAGTCTGTGTTATATATAAGTCAATCCATCACAGGGTCCTGGTGCCCACAAAGCTGGCGATTGGCCTTTAGGGAGGAATATATCAAACGTAGCATTACACGCCAACCCCATCCTCCCACCAACCGAACCCCCTACATCCCCCCCACCTATTCGCCCCCCATGTGATCTCAGAATTATTACATATCTACGTAATAAAAAACATTTCAGATATGTGCAGTTTCAATGTCTTTTGTCATGCACAGACATGCTCAGGCCTATGGGGATCAGTAATTTAGGTATATGTACGTACGTAATGTAGACTAGTCAGGTTACCCACGTCCTTTACATAGCTCTGCACAGATCAGTCATACACATACCTTAGATAATGTCTGCTCCGAATATGTATAGAGTGTAAAACACATCTATTACAAATTCCAGGGGACCTCTGATTTTAGCTAATTATATAGAGTTGGATGTTCATTCCATTTCAGAATATTTTATTGCATTGATTTAATTTACAAAAAGGAATTTTGAGCAACAGGCAAAGCTAAAAGTCCTCTCCTGATACACCGCGCATACACATCAGATTACTGAAGCTACAGAATCACAGGAATGTTATTATTGATTGTACTAATTGATAACATTATGTAGATTATAATTGTACTAATTGATGACATTATGTAGATTAATGTGGTTACCTATAGCTACAGCTACTGTACTAATTTAATCTTTACAAGAGATGCTATTAGCATGAGCCACGGTGCGTTCCACGTGAGCTGGTGGCCAGCACAGACGAATTGTCCGTTACAGGGTGCGTTCCACGTGAGCTGGTGGCCAGCACAGACAAATTGTCCCGTTATAGTCAATCACGGTATTATTCAGGATATACTTCCTTGCCAAACCATTCTGTTATATCTGTTAAACTTAACACTCTTGCCAACAGGCAACCGTAATTCTCTGAAGGATAAACAAGATCTTAGTTTTTATTGTACACAGTAATGTACTCTATGTAGAACACATTGATTATAAGGGTCTGGTTTACACAGGTTTCTGTGTAATGGTCTTGTTTACACAGGTTTCTATGTAACACAGAAAGTAAGGCCGCTTACAATATATTATATTATGTTATATTTGCAGTCTACAATGACATTTTCACAAAAACCATTGTCCCCACAAGCTGGAGTAAATACTCATAAACTGACAAAATAGAAAGCTATTCTTTAAGCAATGTACTAAATATTTAAACTTAAAAAAGTAATATGACGTAATTTAGCTTCATTTTGACGCATAATCTGGAGGAATACAAGATGTCCTTCAGGAGTTGTACTAATCATACCACATACCATGCAGAATTCTGCCAAGTACCGATTGTATGGTATACGAGTACCGACATGAGAAGGGACATTTATCATAGTTAGTCTACAGCATAGGGATACATACAGCAGGTCTCTTAGACATTTATCATAGTTAGTCTACAGCGTAGGGATACAGCAGGTTCCTTTAGACATTTATCATAGTTAGTCTACAGCATAGAGATACAGTAGGTTCCTTTAGGTATTTATCATAGTTAGTCTACAGCGTAGGGATACAGCAGGTTCCTTTAGTCATTTATCATAGTTAGTCTACAGCATAGAGATACAGTAGGTTCCTTTAGGTATTAATCATAGTTAGTCTACAGCGTAGGGATACAGAAGGTTCCTTTAGACATTTATCATAGTTAGTCTAAAGCATAGAGATACAGTAGGTTCCTTTAGGTATTAATCATAGTTAGTCTACAGCGTAGGGATACAGCAGGTTCGTTTAGACATTTATCATAGTTAGTCTACAGCATAGGGATACAGCAGGTTCCTTAAGACATTTATCATAGTTAGTCTACATCATAGGGATACAGCAGGTTCCTTAAGACATTTATCATAGTTAGTCTACAGCGTAGGGATACAGCAGGTTCCTTTAGACATTTATCATAGTTAGTCTACAGCGTAGGGATAAGGCAGGTCCCTTTAGACATTTATCACAGTTAGTATACAGCGTAGGGATACAGCAGGTTCCTTTAGACATTTATCACAGTTAGTATACAGCATAGGGATACAGCAGGTTCCTTTAGGCTTCCATGATTAAGTGAATGTTCTAAAGTACTGTAACAATTTAAATGATTTTTCTGTTCGAAAATTTGTATGCGACAAAAACTGGAAGGTGCCCTAATTTGTACTTAAACCCACAAATTCCTTAACACGAAAAGAGCAAGTTCACTACGTATCAGCCGAAGCTAACTAGTTTACTAGATTAGGGACAATAACAGTCTTTACTCTCCACAAAATAATCCCAAAATAGATAAAAGACTAGGTTTGAGCGTTTTTTGTTTAGCCTTTCAACAATTCTGTGGCGTAAGCTGTCTTTTTCGACCAATCAGATCAAAGCTAAGTCATCAAATATACATGAATTGGTTCAGTATAATCAGATAAAAGCTTAAACATTTATTGTAGCACCGAAGACTATGTGACCTGTTCCTGTTGTGACAGCTAGCATGGTCACGTGATACACACATATAGTGACAGTGTGATGTTTTTTTTTTTAGTAACTGAAGCTTATCGAAGCAAAACATGTTCAAAATTGGTCCAAATTAACGTAAGCCGCATACAAATTTCAATACATATATTATGTACTACATTTTGAAATGAAGCTTTAAAGCTGTAACTATGGGATCACAAGATGACCTAATGATTAATAAATTAGTACCAACCTGGAGCATTCGGGTCGACTTCCTGACGATTCTGTTCCTTAGGTATGTATTTTAATGGTTTTTCTTCCACCCTTTTCACTTTATTGGGCTTAGGTGTTCGTATGTTCTCCTCGTTCTCCTCCTTCATAAAACTGTTACCCTGATTATTCCCCTGATTATTCCCCCCCAATTCCTCGTGAATTTTCTGTGCTAGGACTCCTCTATCAACAGCGTGGAGTCTGTCATTGTGGCCATTATCGCCCCCGAACTCGTGAGCCGGTATGGCCCGGTGATCTACAGCAGCTTGGCGTTTGTGAACATTTCCCTGACTTCCATTAGAATCTACATCATTATAATTCATAAGAACTACCCCGAGGAACCACAGGGCGGGGATCGTCAACACAACCTTGGCAATCAAACTCCTTCGGCGGCGAAAAAAACTCGCCATCTTGTATCACACTCTTAGAAAAAAATTAATCCAAGAATAAACAGCAGATCTGGAATCCTGGACTTGCAAATATTCACTACCTCCTAGTCTTCATATTTAGGGTCCAGGCAACTGCAAAACATTGATAAAATCTGACATTTAAAATAGATATTTAATAAAATATAGATCTGAAATTTAAGATGTACAGTTGATGAAATATTTGAATTTCATAGAGAAAAAAAATAGTGTAAGTGTGTAAATATTCTGCATGCAGTAGATCATGAGTGCCATTACAGACGAAATGATCTGTCCCTACACCAGTAAAATACAAGGAAGAAAAAATTATAAAATAATGAAACTATTTTAGATGAAGTGAACTGTCATTTTACTAATGAAATACAAAAAAGAAAATAACTATACAATGAAATTCTACGTAAATGATGCTCTTGATTTAAATTCCAAAAAAATCATTTAATACAGTAAGTTATCTAGTGAATCTGTCAATCTCCAGGGCAGCTTAACTATCTCCAAACAGACTCCCCTGATTCAGAGTTCTTATAAATAAAAGAAATAAAACAAAGTAAGACTGACTACCAGACAATATATTGATAAGACAGTTCGCAGTATAATGGAATGTAACTGTATAACAAAAGTTACGACATGCCAAAATATGCAACTCCTTCAAACAAGTGATATGATCGGAGGGAGAAATATTGGCATGTTTTAGCTAGCTGTTAAAGATATTATGTTGGTTCAAGTCTGACCTAACTAATGTACAGTCATATCACACCACAGCAATACCGATACTGTGAAATCTCTCACGTAATAAAATATAGAATGTAATAAATTCTTGACGTTTGTCTGTGTTGATGGCTGCAGTACATCTGTTTATGGCCAAGAGCCCTAAGAAATAGGAATTTTTATCATATATATCATATATATAATGATTTATATTCCAATTGTTGATATAGCTAGCTCTTGTAATAATCTATCTATATTAGCCTATATCGGGTGTTATAATCTATCTTGTAATAATCTATCTATATTAGCCCATATCAGGTGTTTTAATCTATCTTGTAATAATCTATCTATACTAGACCATATCGGGTGTTTTTATCTATCTTGTAATAATCTATCTATATACTAGACCATATTGGTTGATATCGCCTCCTATATCTGACACCATCCAGGTATAATACTATAGCTGAACCAATTTTTCAGTCCAGGTCCCCTTAAAAATTTCAAAATCTTTCGTTTTGATATTTTGAAGGAAACATCGTTAGAGACAACATACAAAAATCTCTAGCAAATGAAACTTAATCATGGAACTAGATGATATATACCTGCAAAAGATAAGGAACACAAAAATTAAAAAAAATTGCAGAAGTTAACAGCTGGGGGAGATAAACGTATACCTAGTACAAACTTAATGGGAAACTTAATTTTTAATGGAACATAATCTTTGACAAAAAGGTTAACATATGACGGTTTGCACACTTTATACCATAAACTGTTGGCCCTACACTGGTAAAATCAGTATTCGCCCAGTGTTACTTTTGCCTTTCATATTTGATTACAATGTTTATTATGCTGTCAGTTTGAATGACAAATTCGCCCTCATTACAGAGGGCAACGAAGGCAAAATAATATTGATCAGTATGAAATGATGTTACGTAACTCCTGTATAACGTCAGTTTTATTACCGTGTCACAAACCGGCAATATTTGTGCTGTTATACACTATTGGAAACTTTATGTTGGTGAGAGAAAACGTTTTTGTTATTTGTTTCCGATAAAAAAATATTTTGTATTTTTCTATGTCATATGAGATAACGAAACTTGTCAGGAAGCGTCGGTAGAGCCTGTCTTTTACGGAAATTTCTGAATTCATTTCCTGTGTCATGAAATAGAAACTCCTTTATAATTTCAGCCACATATGTAAATGTTTTCAAGTGTACAATGTCATCAAGTTACAATGTTGACTAGCTATAACGCCGTACCATTCTAAGGGTACCGCTATACATTCTATTGACCAGCAGGTAAAGCATTATAACTCAAAACAGTGTTAAAGTTTAGATTCGCTTGTCAACATATTCTGCTCTGATCTCACATCATACCCGGGTTTGTAACATACTCATTCCTGTATTAGCTGGGAAATCCCTTCCCGCAAAATAATGTTTTGAAATCAGTAGCAATGATAACCTGAAGTGAAGGATTTCGGGTATCTCTGAAGTGAAGGATTTCGTGTATCTCTGAAGTGAAGGATTTCGGGTTTCTCTGAAGTGAAGGATTTCGGGTATCTCTGAAGAAAGTTACTTCCTAAAGGAAGCAAACACCAGGCATAATAATGATCAACACAACATCAATTTTTCTATCATCAGAGAAAATTGCATTGTTTTAGTCAAACATACAGTTGTGACTCACAGCTTAAGTACAATGAAGGTGTTTTATATAACAGTGACATGTATACATAGTCATGACAAATCACCACCAACATATAAAGCAAATTCTATTAACAATTAACACACAATACCTGTCTAACAGACCTGCGGTCCCGGCTCCCCATCTCCAATATTAATGAAAGGTGAGAGTTTACCTGAGGTGTAGATTGAGTTGTCTCCCTTTAACAGCACAGTTTGATTGAAAAACACAAACCAATTAGAACTGTTATCACTGAAGGTGTTGGTGGATTGCCAGAGTTGATACTGCTGGAGCGAGCTTGTACCCCCTACACTCAACCTGTCTCATCGACTAGGAAAAGGAAAGTTTTCCGAAATGTTACATCAGTCTAAGGGAATATAAGTAGAAAACCCTTCATCTAAAGTTCTAAACCAATCAGATTGGATATGGAAGAGAGGCCGGTCACCTGACAGCGTCCCATAGACAGAGCGGTCCGTGTTCACATTGTCAATTACCGCAATTAAAGAAAATAGTGGTAGATGATAAGTTGTAGAGGTATTGATCTGGGTGTTCACAGTGTTTGCCCCAGAGCTGCGAGAAATACACGCTGGAGTGATACTCTCCGATACAACGCTGGAATTCCTCTGTCTACTCCCCGACACACATACAGTTTACACAGTTAAACATGCGTCATTTACCTAAAACAATGCTCCGATATCAAGGCTCAGGTTCTGTATCAACATACAGCTATCCCATTGTACTGATCATGCTACAGATTTAAATTATATCCTCCTACACAGGAAAGCTTCCTCTTGACAATATTACTATACATTTTTGACCAAAAAATTTAAACAGAGGTAAGGTGACTTATCACACAATTTCTACAAAATTAAAAACTACTGTAAGTTAAGGCTCAGTTCAATCACACAAGATAGCTTAGATGGTTCACATTTTCTGGTTTTTATTTGGTTTAACAGTTAAGGTCATTTAAAGACATGTAGTTGTCACAGGATACATCTCTCAATCCTACCGGTGTACAATATAGTGTACAATATACCGGTGTACAATATACCAAAACAACTAAAACATGTCCATTTCACTGCCTCCATTTCAATTCATCGGGTCAAAGGTATACCAAAGATAGATCCTTAAGTGAATACACTGACCATTCTACCACAAAAACAATAAACAACAGTAACATAGCCTAAGCAAGGGATCTAAGGACCTTGACATTTGACCACAACCTGTTTGGACCTTGACATTTGACCACAACCTGTTTGGACCTTGACATTTGACCACAACCTGTTTGGACCTTGACATTTGACCACAACCTGTTTGAACATTATATACCTTGTAATAACACTGAGGACTGTGAAAGTGTCTCTCATAAAGCTCTTTCATGTTTGTTCTATTTCATGCACAAACTTTTCACACAAATCTAGACATGGACAAGTGATAATTTTACCAAGGGATGCCCCATGTTAATGTCTATATACAGCGACCCTGTTCAGAGGGCTCACACTAGTGGAACCAATTGTGCCTATCAACAAACAAAAGAATTCAGATACTCTCAAAGGCTCTAGAACTCTAGTCCACCAGGGCTGGTTCCGAGCATGTTGGCGTTATATTCCATATATTCCATGTACTTATATTGAGGATATTGAACTTTTAAAAATGCAGTATGGAAAGAACTTTATTTTGAAATTGTTTTTTGCAGTTTTCATAATTATGAGAATATTCAAAATTGGAGATTGGCATGAATGTTGACGCTGTTTAATCAGACAATAGTAGGTTGTTGACCACATAGACAGAGCAACAACTCTGTCTGTATAAACTTAGGCCCATCAATGAGACGGGGATTACGTCGTAACACATGATGTCGGAGGTTTATTAGTTCTGATGTCTGGCACAAACCACGTGATAATATTGTACATCATTAATGTAATCACAAATTAAAGATGTCATAATTGTAAAAAGGCTGTCTGCAATCACAAAGAAATATCCCAAACCCACTCATCACAGACCTAACACAATCAAAAAGAAATGCGCCCATGTTTATTCCCTGTATTAAATATGAAGGGAACATTAGGCGTTAATATCTCGCCCCAAAGTTGTCTCCTACTAGGATGTGATCCAGCGTAATGGATGTGATGACTGCAAGATTACGCCTAGAACTGTGGACGTTTGTGAGGGTCGGTGAGCCAAATCATCCGAAACTCAACAACGTACTATGTGCAGCTTGTCAGTTTTGATGAAGCTGTGTGGACGATGAGGTAACATTAAAGGCATGGTTAGAGATATATGGGTATTACCCCTTCACCGTACGTATAGATTCATATTATCTTGCCGAAACAAAATGTCTATGTGGTAAAAAAGTTGATTTTTGTACGCCTCTGTGCATTTGTCTAGCTGTTTATTGGTATTGGATAAGCTTCTTCAAGGAAAAGCATGTACGGAACTTTATCATGGTCATATTTGGCCAACTACAACAAGATTAGACTTGACGTTGGATTCAGACGCCATAAAAAGTCTGGGATCTCCATCTCCGAGATCTCGCTACTTATGTAATCCTTGGTGTCATCTGCATGGAAGACCCACCGTCCATAACTTGGGATAAGTGTGTGGCTTTATAAGTTACGGATGACACAGTACGTGTTCAGCGTAAACCTCTTCATGTTTAGCTAACCCCACAGAGCAGCTGATGTTCCGAGTCCAACTCCACAGCATATGAAA